AGACAAGGCTGCTTGGGCCCTCCCATTCTGCAAATGACTGTGGGTGAAGAAAGATTTTTTTTTTTTTTAAGTTGTGTTATGGGAGAGGAAAGATAAAGATATTTTCTAAGTATTCTAGAGAATATTTTTTCTTATTGAGGTGCATTGCCCTGGACTCTGAGAGAACATGTTTAAAATTTTATTTTTTAATTTTTGAAATTGAATTATCTAATTAGATTATACCAAAAAATTCTATAATGTATATGAAGTTAAATTGGATTTCAGACATTTTGAAAAGTTATTTTTTATTTAGCAACAGATAAAAGAAAACTTTGTACTTAGGTATTTTCATAACACACAAACAAATTACCGCAACATGGCTGAGAAATTTGAATGAGAGCTACCAGGAGTGCTTTCCCATGATGCTATAACTTTGGTTGAACCAGAGAAGACTTTCCTTTTATATTTTTAAGACTCACTTCTTTGTTCTTCAGTTTTTCTCACTGGAAATAAGCGTTTTGGACTAAAACTAAGTGATCTTAGTCTGCAACCTTAAAATTTTAGTCTCTAAAGAGTTATAAGTAAAGAGAAAATTTTTATGGTGGGGCATGAGAAAGAACAATGGGAGAGGTGAATGGAGCAAAAGGGGAATGAAAAATTAAGACAAGATGTCAGTGATGGCAGTATACCACGAATGACAAGTATGACACAGATTTTACTCGCTGTAGCTGAGATCCAGCACTGTTTGTATATACACGTGTACACAGTCATACAGAACCGAATGGTGCAGGCAGCTCTAGGTACATTCTTCGTATGTCCAAAGTCAAGGAGAGTGCAGCAAGCAGTGTGATCTTGATGTCTTTAGAAAAAGCACCATAGCTTCTCCATTATAAGATATGACCTAAGTCTTAAAGAAAGGGGATTATCTAGAGCCAGGCAGATTGGAGAGAGGATGGATTTTCAGGGGAAATCACATGAGTATCGATAGGAGAGGTGGTCAGAGTAAGCCAGCTACCTTGAATCATCTTATAGACTTGCTGAATGTTAAAGCTGGAGAGAACCTTGAATATCATTTGATATGTTCCTTACAGGAACATCATAAGAGATTTGATCCTTCTTATTTTTTGTTGACAACATTCTCTATTTTATAGTTTCAGTTCTCATTTCTGTAGTATTTTGTTTTTAACAACAACCACCATCACTGCCACCACCACTAGCCCTTCTTCCTCTGCTCTATTGTGATGTTGAGGGTTTTGCTGCGTGGTTATAGCAAATCAAGTTCTCTGAAGTTGTCTGGTCTATTTGAACCATATAGAAACCACATATTGGCTGTTTCGGCTGTTTCCCTACAACCCTAAGAGACCTCTTGACTACAAGGATAAAGCCTGCATGTTTCTCTCTCTAGAAACAAGACTTTAGTAGGGAATGGGGTTGCTAGTCAGCCACCAGACATCCCAGGAAATGTTTTTGGATGAGCATAAAATAACCTGAAGATTCCCTAGCAAAGCAAAAGGCTGAAGAATCATTAATATAAACCTCTAGAATGTTCCTGTGGCTTTGACTTTTAATGGATTATTGCTGTCCCTTTTAGCCTGTTTTCTGTTCATCTCTGATCCTTTTTGGTCTCCTGTTCCTTTCCATATCCACTCACTATCCCAACTTTTACCTGGAATTTTCCACCCACCAGCATCTTCTCTCTTGAGGTAATTATCTAACTGTTGACTGTGATTTATTCCATTCAATACTCTCTGGACAAGAGATTTTCTTAATCTTCCTTACCTCCTATGGCTCCCGGACTCATGCTGTGGGTCCCTGTTGCTTTTTAAAGTAATTTGTGTCAATCATTTTTAATAGATTTTTGTATTTTTCTATCTTTTTAGCTATTTTTCTTGTGGGAATTTATACTAAGTAAAAATGCCATTTGTCCTCAGGGGAGTGACTTTTCTTTCCAACTTAAGATTACTTACCTGAAAATGAGCAAGTTAGAATTTGTGACAATTAAGTTGTCTTCTACCTCTGAAGCTATTTGACTGTGTTGATAAAATGATGTTGAGGTTCACAGAGGCATCGCAGAGCACTGAGAAAATCATGAAATTTAGTAAACGCCTCCTCATTCATAATCGGGCATGTGTCCTGTTTTTCATGTTATAATCATCCAATATTCTCAGACTCCAGGATTTCTTACTTTACCTAATTGAGTTTTTCACTGAATTTGAGACTTTATTCTCCTTCACAGTCTGGGCTGAACTTCTCTTGTTACCATACAGTTTATTCTTATAGGAACCTTGTGTGAAACATTCTTTCTGCACATCCCAACAGACACCAAAAGATAAATGAGACCCCAACAGAATTGTAATACATGACACCCCCACTGCTTAGACCAGTGGTCTTTGAAGGGTTCATCAGTACCAGGGTGTGGGCAAAACATCGTTGAAGTTCAGGAAGAAATAGTCAATACCTTTATTACAGTTATTGTTTTCATCTTACCCTTTTAAATTATCTTCATTCATATGTTTCATAATGCATTTATTATTATACTAGTAACTATATAGAAAAGCCTGGCACTATCTATATCCATGTACAGTACACTTGCTAAAAACTTTCTTTCTGTTTAGGATGTTTGATTAAAAATCTCGGAGGCCAAATGTTTGCCTTAGAAAATCCTTAATATTATATTAATTTAAATATATGAATGTAATAAAATTTCATATTGATATAAAATCTGAAGACTTTTAGGCTTTTTAAACTCATTATTGATGTTTGCCCTTGTTCATTTGCTATTTTAGATGCACAATCTAAAGGTTGTGAGGTTTTGTGTCAGTCAGGGTTCCTTGGTTTAGGCAAGGATGCCGAAAACAGCACTGGCTGTATCACAAAATAAAAGGAGAAGCTGGATAATTCGGCCTCCTAAGAATAGAGCTAGCTCAGCCATAGACTTAGGAGTGAAGTCACTTGGATTAACCCCAACAGCCCAGCCAGTGATTGACTCAGCCCTAGTTACCTTCCCTCCCTGATGTCTCCTCTCAAGAGTCACATTTCCAATAGGAAGAATCTGATGGTTCACTTTGGGTCAGATGCCACACCCCTAAAAATTATTTTGCCAGCATCAGTCCATGTCTATTTCCTATGAAGTGAGGATGGAAGTTCTTTTCCAGCCATCCATGTCTATAAATTCTGACTCTAGAACATGACTACTCGCTGAAAAATGACAATTCTAGTCATGTAATCTTTTCTTCATATCTAGAAAGAGAAAAAAATGATGAATGATTAGTCTAAAATGTCACTTTCCTCCTGGGAGCAAAACTTAATTTTTACTTGATTGTGGTTTTTTTTTTTTCTTCCCTTTTGCATTTCGGTTAAATGACTTTTGAATTCTTAAACTCTCTCGATAAAACGGAAACAAAATAATCACCAAGAGTCAAATATAATTTAAGATATTTTCATAAATAGTTGGAAACCCTTAGAATAAATTTAGAAGCAATTTTAAATTAAATTGGCTTTTAAAACCTGTTTGTTTTCCAAATTATATAAATAAATTATTATACTTTTATGTTACCATAAAATCCAAGTTTAATCACTGTACCTTTAACTCATAGAAAAAGACACAATAACATTTTAGATTTAAATTTAATTTTTCTGAAATGCAAACTGTCTGGAGTAGAGGTAGAGGATGCATTTTGGAGAAAAGGGACTTTAAGTGCTGGTTCCCTTTCTTCAGATATTCTGTTAGAAAATATTTAAAGGAGAAATTTCAAGCATAGCTTACATAACCTTCTTTGAATTTGAAAAATGATTTAGCAAGGATGTCAAATAATGAACTTTTTTAAAGGCAAAATTTGAAGGCCACAAATTAAAATTCTGTTTAGGACAGGATTTGTGCATAGATGGAGTAGGTCATTAAGTCAATAGGGATGTAATTAATGTGCAACCAAAACACGCTCTTCACCCCTCTGCCCAAGTATATTTCCACCACTGGAACACCCATTTGGTTGAATACGGCCTTTGAATTTCATGGTAAAAGTCAGATGGCATCTTGGAGAAATCAAATATATCCCCATTTTAATGCTCAATTGTGTGCCTTTCCTCTACTTGGCTTATAAGATAAGCAGCCAGATCCTAAAACTAATATGACACGTGGGAGGTAATTTTCAAAGCAGGGAAGTCATAGAGTGAAAGCCCATGATTTGGGTATAACTCATCAAGTCTAGCGGGTCTAGGGTAGCAGCACTGCATAGTCAGAGGTAACCAGGACCCCTGGCGTGAGGAGCAGGAGAGTCAAAATCAAGAAGAGAGACCTACTCCTGATTCTCTTGAGAGTCTGTTATGATTATGTTTAACCAGGTGGAATTAATGGGATAACAAGACTGAAATACTTGGTTACACCTCTTTATCATAGCCCTTCAGTTTGTAATCTCTGTAAAGGAAAAGAACTGGTTCTATTAATGGTGTGGGTTTAAACAGATGCACTTAATTTGAAATTTCCAAGCAGATCAGGTGTGATCTTTCCAGGGTTGCTAGATGGAACACAATTTTATGCATATTCACAGATCACCTACTATGTGACAACACCAAATTCTGCAGAATTTGTTAGTGGGCAGGGTAAGGAAGAGGGAGGGAAGGAAACACACCATTCAAAAAAACGATTACATGCCCCCCATAATATGCTGAAATAAAAAAAAGAAAAAATGTATTACAGACACATAGTTTAAAATGTAGAAGATCAAAAGAAATAGACATTGGTGTGGTCAGGAGCAGATTACACGTCAGCATAGGGGAACTACGACAGGACATGGGGCTTTAGGGATGAGTAGGATTTGGATATAAGAAACAGAAAATACAAAGGCCCTTCTGTATTTTGGCTATGCAGAAAGTCTGATTTCAGATCCTTTAATGTGACGTTAAGTCCCTTGGCTGCTTTGAGGGAACAAACTTTTACTATTAGTTTAAGGAAATGTGTAGCAATTGGAAGCTCTTGACATGAATAATTAATGCAAGAAGCGTGTCTTGCCTCTCCCTTGCAGGTGTGTCTGCTCAGCTCACCAGCACGCGGCACCGGCGGAACACGTCTGTAGGAACGCCGTTCTGGATGGCTCCTGAGGTCAGATAGGGTTTCGAGGGGGATGAATGTAATATTTGATCCTCTCTGACTTTCCTTTTCATGTGCACTCTATCTCCATAAGTGTTTTGGAATATACCAGAAGAGGAAAAAGTCAACTGTGTTACTGAAATATGAGATTTTCACATGTATGAGGAGGAACATGGAAGGCGCTCTGTAATGAATGAATGCATGGATGAATGAAAGATTGAATGTGTGAATCAGGTGCGGTAGAGAGAAACTACTCACAAGTTTGATTTTTCATTAAAGTTAGTTGTTTAGCATGGATCTATATTGGCGATATTTACATTCTGTTTTTAAATTATAACAGAAGGATTATGAGAACCCCAGGCTTTGTTAGATTGGATTCAGGTCCATTAACCTGCGTGGCGAGTCCCCACGTGGTGTCACTCTGCCCAGGGGAACTGCTGAAACTGTTGAGGGAAAAAGTTTTCAAGAGCCCCTTCTTCTCCCCACAGTCACTATTAATGCCTTTTCGTCTTTTTAATTATGTTTATCACTTTAATGAACATTTATTTTTGAAGACTCTCAGCAATGGTTGGGAAAAGCTCTGCTATTTATCTACAATATTCTAGGGAGTGAAGGGAGGAGAAGTAATTCAAAAGCTATATTAATATTGTAAAATCTTATAATTGAATTTGTTTGAGAATTAAATCCTGGTATACTGTTTTTATTTGAATACTAATCCAATTATTACTTGCAAAAAAAAAGTTAAAATGTAAACTTAATATAAAATATGGAGAGAGAATAAATTATTTTCAGAAACTTTTAAAAAAAATTAATGGATTAAAAAACTTTTTAACAGGGAGTACATCTTGAAATAAAAGTAGAAAGTCATATAAGCAAAAACTAAATTGAACAAGAGAATCACAAATAACAGTGTTTTTAGTTTGTTCTGTTTTTAAAACTTGCAAAAAATTTACAAAGAAGTTAATAGAAATGTAGTTATAATACCAAATATTGCATTTTGTTTGCATACATTAGTAATAAATATAATAATAAGTAATATTACATATAATTATATTACTGTATAAATAATACCCTAGCTGTATGGTTTTTGTATGTTAATTTATAGTAACAAAGCTATTATTATATATTCATATGCCATTTAGTACAAACACTCCCTTAATATGAAATTGCTAGACAGTCATTTTTCTGATGTCATTATTATTAATAAACCTCTACACATAAGGCTTGAAAGTTCTTTCCTGCTTAGCAAACTAATGAATATTATAGAAAAGAAAAAAGATTCACTGCAGTTTTTCAAGCTGTCATATAAATATATGTTTGAGATTTTGTGCATATTATATTCATCTCTCTGTAATAAATACTTTCCAAATTTGAAGAAGAACATATTTTGATTAACGAGTTTTCTGGCTAATAAAGATATCTCATATATACCACTCTATGTTATTAATGACAAATTTCTAAGAATTAGAAAGCAATAAGGTAAAAAATATAAATATAATAATGGCATAGAAGTGTTTCAGTGTTTTTAGGGCCTTGGTGGGGAGATTGTCCAAATCAATTATCAGTAGAAAAGTGAAAAAATTTTTTTATTTCAAAATATTATGGGGGTAAAAATATTTTTGGTTACATGTGTTGATTTTGTTATGCTTGGGTCAGGGTTATAAGTGTGCCTGTCTCCCAAATAGTGTTCATTGTACTCATTAGGTAGGCTTTAGCCCATCCCCTTCTCTCTCCTCCCTCCTACTTGATTTCCACTAAGTTTTACTTCCTCTGTGCACATGTGTGCTCATCTCTTAGTTCCAGGTTAATAGCGAGTACATGTGGTGTTTGTTTTTGCATTCTTAGATACTTCACTTGGATAAAGGTCTCAGTTCCATCCAAATTGTTGCAAAAGGCCTTAATTTAGCCGTCTTTGTAGTTGAGTGGTATTCCGTAGTATACATATACCACATCTTGTTAATCTACTCATGAATTGATGGGCACTTGGGTTGATTCCACATCTTTGTGGAATTGTGAATTTTGCTGCAAGAAACATTCAAGTGCAGGTGTCTTTTTGATAAAATGACTTCTTTCCCTTTGAGTAAATACCCAGTAGTGGGCTTGCTGAATCAAATGATAGGTCTAAAGTGAAACTCTCAATTTGGCATTTGTAAATGAAATTCCTTATCAAACGTAGTATTTGTCAATTACATAAAGCCATACTTTCCAAACTGGAGCACATGTTTGCCTGGACAAAGGGGACAAGGAAATTAGTGACCGTGGTAGGTGATTGTACAACTTATGGACAAGTCAGAATACCTTGGAGAGTGAAAGGTGGTGATATTTATAATGATTCTATCTAGGACAGCAGGCATAAAACAAGAATGTCTCAGGCAGACTGGGTCATAAATTCAGTTGAGCCTATGGGGAGATGTTCTGGGATCACATGTAAAACCATAAAATAACACATTACCCTGAAGCAACAATTTTACTAGCAAAAAAAAATGTGGTGGGGCAAAAAATATTCTTATGCTCAGGGAAAGAAATATACCACAGAATGGAAAATTCATATGAATGCATTTTTAAAATTTTAACAAATTTATAGAGATATAATTTACATACCATATAATTCACTCATTTAACATGTACAGTATTCTGATGTTTAGTGAATATGCACAGGGTTGTACAATCATTTTCACAATCTAGACTTAGATTTTTGTTCTCCTTAAAAGAAACCCTGTACTCATTTACATTCATTCCCCATCTCCTCCCACACTACCCTACCCTAGGCAGCCATTAATCTATTTTCCATCTCTATGGATTGGCCTTTTCTGGACATTGCATAGAAATAGAATCATATAATATGTGGCCCTTCTGTCTGTAATCTTTTACTTAGTGTAATGTTTTCAAGGTTCATCCATGTTGAAGCATATATCAATACTCCATTCCTTTTTATGGCTATATAATATTCCACTGTATGTATATACCTCATTATGTTTACCCACTCCATGGGTTGATGAACATTTGTCTTTTTCCCACTTTGGGGCCATTATGAATGATGCTGCTATGAATATTTGCCACATGAATTTTTAATGTAAAACTTAAGACTCATGCTTTTTCTCAGAACTTCAGTCTATGCTCTTGGATTTCAAAGTTTCACTCTTGTGTGATATTAAAAATACTTTGGTAGGAAAGGTTGAGAAGCAGCGTGTAAGAGTCATATTGAGCCTAAGTTGGGAAATTGTGTTCTCTCTCTGTTTCTCTCAATCTATATACATATATGTATATACACATATATAATTTATTTATGTATTTATTATTAGCCTTCAGGTGCTCAGAAATACATTGGTTCATGGCCTTCTTGTTTATTTGCACATGAACTTGCCACCCAAGCTAGAACTAGAACATGACAGTAGCACACATTTGCCTCCGTCTGTTCCTCTGTCCACCTTCTTGCTTCCTCTCCAGAGTAACTGTTGTCCTGCTTGTTGTGTTTATCATTGCCCTCATTTTATTTTTTTGATCATACTGATATGCTTACATTTAAACCATTTTTCTGTCATTTCCATTAGTATCAGGCTGGCATAAAGATTTATTTATGAAGGAGTCACCCTTTCTGCATGATGTGTGTAAATGTCATCACCTAATCTCCAGTTCGCCAACACAGGGATTTTTTTTAAATGTGTTAAGCTTGATGTTAAGTGCAGTCAGGAAGATAATATATTGCTCCAGACAGGGCCTTAGATTTCTTTCACTTTACATATCATTTTACAGTACTGTAGTTAAATGATAGAACTCTAATCTACTATCATCTAAAAATCATTTTTTTTTCTATATGGGTTAGCATTCACAAAATGTAAAATTTTTTAAATGTAGAAAATGTTTTTTTAAGATACGGAATTGAATTTCCTTTTTGTGGTTACTGATATTAACAGTTATCATTTACAGCCCATCTGTATTTGTACTCACACACTTACAAATAAATTGTGAAGTAATGATACAATAATTTTTCTGTATAATACTATGTTATAATGTTGCAAAAACAAATCCTCTTTTTTTTCTTGTTTCTTAGTTACATCCTTTGATTAGTGACATGTTTTGAAACTTGGTTGTAGTTTTATAACTTAGGGTAGCCCCACATAAGCTATTGGTAAGTCTTCATCTATGTTTATATTTATTCAATTGACTTTTCTTTCTTTAATGGCTTAAAACTTTTGCATTCCTCCAAACTTGTCTCATTCCTCCCTTGGGTATCCTTCTCTTCTAGTTACCAGTAAAGAGCAAGGCCATCTAACTAGACTGCCCTCAAGTTTATATTTCTTTACTTCCTCTACTTTAAAATTCTTCAAAGAATTATCTTTGCCAGGTGAACGTGCCCATTCCGTCATCAAATGTTTATTATGTGACTACCGCTGCGCAGTCTTTAGCTATGCATTTGATCCTGTCCCTTTGCATTTGGGACATTTTTCCTTTCCTCTTTTTGTTGTAAATTTTAAAAAATATTCCTTGTCACAGGCTTCTTTCATTTGTAAACCTGCTAAGATATTCTCTGTTCTCAAAATAAAAGTAGTACTAGTACTAATAATTTCATCTTTATTCTCCTCCTAAATTACTGCCTTTATCTTTACCTGTAGCTATCAAACTTCATCACTTTAAACACTTTGTTCTAAATATTTTGCTACATGTTTATTAAAGTCAAAAACTTTGCTTCTTTGTTGTTGTTGTTTTCTGCTAGGTGATTGCATGTGAACAGCAGTTGGATACCACTTACGATGCCAGATGTGACACTTGGTCCCTGGGTATCACAGCCATTGAGCTGGGTGATGGAGACCCTCCGCTAGCTGACCTGCATCCCATGAGAGCGCTCTTCAAAATTCCAAGGTCAGATTAGGACCAGTGTCTGTAGCCCAGTTCTTCCTGCAGCCACTGAGAGTGCATGGTGCTCATTGTGGAAATATTCAGATACATTCCAACAAGCTGGGAGCAAAGTGGCCTGGAATATTATACTGCTTCTTCCAAGATGCTATCTTTGTTCAGTAGTTGCATTTCCCTGGGCTAAGTAAAAGAGCTTTCTCTTGAGAATCAGTGTGTTTTTTTCCTCTTTTGCTAGAATTTGAACTCAGAGAATAACAGTTCCCCCCACTCTGTATCCTTTCCCTGGTGGGTCAGTGAGGCACCCTAGTCCCCGGTCAGTGCAACAGTGCTTTGCTCTGCTTCACCCACCAATCTGGTAATTTTTTCCTACTTGCTAAAACTTCTCTTTGTTTGGAACTTGAAAATAATACTATTGCTAGGAAAACTATAAATAAGATTTATTGATAAAGCAATAATTTTAAACAAGTTAATATTTTGAATATATCAATACAAAATAAATTTAAAAGAATAACCTCTTTGACACCATGAAAGCACTTTTCTATCTATGTAGATAGCACCCTTTCAGTGTATATGTCAACAGATTTCCCTCTGCCTATCCTATTACTAATTTCTTTAAACACTATTTTATATGTGTTTCTAGATAGTTCAGAAAAGACTGCCTATTAATGATGTTATTTTTGAAGACATTCTTAAGGGTTTTGCCTGGTACCTTAATTCTAACAAAATGCACACACAGAGCCTGGGGTGATGGGGATTCAGGGTATAGTGGTAGGGTGGTATGTTACAGTTTGTCACCATGCTCTCCATTAGACAAATTCTATGGTTCCAATACTTATAAAGCAGAATCATACATACAAAGCCCTAGAGAGAATGTGCTAGTCCTAAAGAAATAGTGCCACTATTTTAATAGTGCCAATATAGTGTATTCATTTCCAGATGGATTTATTTGGAATATTTGGCATGTAATTAAATTATTATAAGACCAAAGCATTTGAATTTGCTTTTAATGTTACCTTTGAATGTTCTATCCTACATGTTCCAAATTGTAATACCTTAGATATATACCATCCTTTACATACTGCTTATTTGGTAAGTGGGGAAACAGGGTTACAGAAAAGAAAGGAAAATCTTCTCTATACCAACTCCAAGATGTCTCATTAAATTTAAGGAAAACAGAAACTATCGGTGTTTTTAAACTGTTATTGTCATTCAGTATGTAAGACGAGGTGCTGTGCTTTCTGAACTATTTTAATTGTGACTTAAACCACCATATTTATTAGCCTGATGTTATTGCTCTTGGAGATGATGGCACGTGAAGGAAGGATGATACCTTTGATATGTATCGTAACTGGGTAATATGCAATATGGAGAGTCCATCTGCACACTGCATCATTTTAGTTATTTATAATTATTTCTACCACTAGTGTATCTCTAAAATGAGATTCTGAGAATACTGACCATAGAAATAGGTACAGAAAGGAGATCTGAAAAGCTACCCAGCTCTGAGTGTTCTGAAATCATCAAAACTTTGTTATACTTAAAGCAAGCCAGTAAATCTCATAAAAGGGTGTTTTCAGGAGGACAAGAAACAAAACAAGATTTTTGGAGAAAAGAATGACTTCATTAAATGTGCAAATCAGCAATCTTCAAGTAGTCCTAAGGATTGTGAAATGTGCTTAGGCGTGATCTGGGGTAGATGAGTAGCTGCACTTTTCTTTAATGAGCCTGTACAAACTGTACATTAATTTCATTATAAGCTATTTAAGGAGTAATGCAGAACTGAAGACAAAGTATTTCCATTCCGCTAATGAAAACAAAGAGCTGTTAGAATTAACATAAAGCAGCACTTCAGCAAATTCGACTATCATGGTTGATCAATGTTGCTTGATTACAGAGTTAGATCAGCCCCATTTTCAAGTGATGTTCCTTTGTATTCAACGAATGTGCCAAAAGAGAAAAGATTTGTTCAGCTTAAACTGAAAGGAATTAATAACAAAATTTTTAAGTGGCATTCAGAGCTTTATGGCTGATAATATTTTTCAGTTCCTTGCTTTTGTTGCACTTCATAATACCTGTTTCCTGCCACATATCCAGTAACAAAAGAACACCTCACTGAGGCATTCTCCCGTGCCCCTCTGGCTGTAGTGTCCTCCCTGTTCCCAACAGGTCACCTCTGTCGTCCCTGGATAGTCCTCAGAGACTTCCGCGGGACTCACAGGGAGAAATCTTCCCCCAGTATTCAGTGTTCCCATTCTGCAATCAATGTTTTCTCCTAGGGCTCTCAGGTAAAAACAAGAAGATTCTTTAAAATAAAAAAAATAACAATTGGAAAAATGGAGTCATATGTTAGATGCTTTCAGAGAAACAAGGAACCTGTCATTTTATACCAAGAATGATTAATAACTAATTACCTGGCTTGAAATTAGAAAGTGATAGCAATCCTTGATGATGACTGGCAGGCGCTGTGATTGCAACAGCGCATTAGTCTACCTGGCGCTGCCTCTCATTTTGAACTGTCTGACCAATGTACACAGTCCAGCATTGATTCTGATTTTTTCTAGGAATCCACCCCCCAAACTACGGCAGCCTGAGTTGTGGTCAGCAGAATTCAATGACTTCATTAGCAAGTGAGTAACAATAGAGTTTTTAAGAAAAACCAAGGAGATACTATCGCGATATAACTGAATCTTTTCCTATTTCTTCTTTTCCATTATTTTATTCAAAAGAAGAACCTGTAGTGTCTTTTAAATGTTCAGTGAATTCATTATTACTCAAATGATGGTCTTAGGCTCCTGTTTATTCACTTGCTGAGAGTTATGCTTTTGCAGACACGTTGTCATGCATGGACACTTTCTCCTCTTCACCTGATTTTGCAGCCATCTCTCAGCTTCTGCCACCTGCTCACCCAGGGTCTATTTAGCTAGTTGTTGAACGCTTCATTTATCTGCATCACTGATTCTCATCACAATCAGAGAATTTTCATTGCAGTCAGTGACGCAGATAATTATATCTATAAAATGTTTATGCCTTTGAAATTCAGTAATTATTTTTATTTTGGCAAATATTTAGCACAAGTCTAGCGCCTCCAGTTAATTGACTAGAAGATGGGAGTCAGCAGTTTCTACAAATCTGTCCCATAAATCTTTTGTCACAATTTTTATTTTGCCTTCACCTTAAACAAATATAAGGTAGGGGATTACCCCTGGTTATAAATGGAAGAGAGAGGTCATTCAGATTTGGTGTGCCAAACTCTACTCAGAAAATGCAGAAAGGCCAAAGAAGTGGAGGAACCAGCCGTATTCATTGCACACTAGCACTGGTTTCCCTACCAAGAGTATCTCCTTATTCATCCAAAGACAAGGCTTAGATCTGAAGGCTTAGATTTAAGAATTTGTGAAAACCTGAGAAGGATTGACAAATCTTTTTAGTTTTCTCTTGACCAGGCATTACTGAGCTTGTGCAATGTACTACATCATATTTAATAAACTGTAATCACATTCTCCAACCTCTTATGAGAATCACTGGTAACTTTGAAGGGACCCCTCATGATTCACAGTGTCTACCCCTGGGCTGCAGATCAGTGGAACTCGGTGTCATTGACAGATTTGTCACAATTTCCCCTGTGAGAAACATTTCCTATATTCACCAAGCAGTTAGTATTCTGTCCTGTGTGCTATTGTATTTTGTTCCTCTTCCTCTAGTAACATCACCAATCTTATTTAGCTTACCTGTTTGATGTCTTTCTCTCTAGCTGAATGTGTCCTGCTTGTCTCTGTGACGCCAGCCTAGCAGGTGACATTACAGTAGTACACATTAGCTATTTGATAACGTTTTACTTGAATAAGATAATATCACATGTGACTCTTCTGAATACATAGATACAAGTACTACAGATATCAGAAATTGATGCATTCTGTTAAACTAAATGAAATCTAAGAACACTCATTCTTATTTTAAGACACTGTCATCTTTATTCCTTAGTATATTTTAGCATCCCTGGGAAGTATTTTTTGGCTAAGCCCAATGAGATAAATTGCCAAATTATCCTCCCACGAGGATCAGCAATACTGATTAGAAATGGCACTGCTCAAGCCAAGGCATGGGTTTCTTCTTCTGCTGCTGTTTTTCTTGTTTTAATATCCCCAAATGACAGCCCAGTTTTCTCATAATCTTCGATCCTCTAAAGCTGAGGGTTGGAAGGGTCTTGGATTGTTGTATAGCCCAAACTTGCACCCAGAGCTTAAATCCTTCTCACACATGTGCACTGAGCAGCCATCCAATTGGTGCTTAAACGTCACTACCAAATATAACCGTATTTCCCAGCACAGCCCATTCTGCCTTGACAAGCCTCACTTATGACAAGTTCTTTCCACTGACCTGAAAGCTGTTTCTCTCTTGATTCCACCAGTCAATCCTAGGATTTTCCCCTCCTTGTGACCAATGAAAACTAGTCAAATTCCTCTTCCAAATATTTGAAGATAGCCATCACAGCTGATTAAACATCTTATGTTTGTTCAAATACTCCTATGATGTTGTTCCAGGTGCTGCCACCAGCCTCATCCATAGTTGTGAATATGGTGTAGTCAAATCTATTGAGAGGTGTGATACGCATTAGTACATCCACTATATGTCTTCAGAAAATACCTACTAACATGGGATTTAAACATCCTCAGAGGATTAGCCTTCTCAAATGGGTTAGCCGTTTTATCACACAGAAAGAAATTGATCAATTGGGAGACCTTTAGCAGCATTCCTTAAGGGAAACTGAAAAGTTTGTTTTAATTTTAGATAAGCATTAAAGCTGTAATGACTTTATTGTCATTTATCTTTAGCTACTGACTTGTACAGGGGACTGCAGTGAAGACAGTTTAATTATCGCCATGTGATAGTGCTTGCTGGGGACAAGGGAAGGGGCATTTAGTTGAAAGTTGGTATCACTACAGCACAATCACTCACAGATGTGTGCACTTTCACAACATTCATCTCATCGTATTGCAGTTTAATATTTTTTGAGATGTGCTTGGGCTGAGCATTTATGTGGAGCATTGCTCTCTTGTGAGAGTCATTCTTTAGGAATATGAACAGTAGTTTCAAAACTCACTTATCTAATAATTGCATGTTCTTTTTTGCCAGTGCAGGTGCTTGACCAAAGATTATGAAAAGCGTCCAACAGTGTCAGATCTTTTACAGCATAAATTCATTACTCAAATTGAGGGCAAAGATGTGATGTTACAAAAACAATTAATGGAATTCATTGACATTCATCAGTGCACGGGAGGCACAGAAAAGGCCAGGTAAGCAAACAATATCTTGACTTCAAATGTCCGAAAATTATCTAAAGACTCTGAACAGTTTTACAGTGTAATAGTTGTTAAGGTGGAAACCAAACTCATTTAAGTTCCCTGGTTGTGATTTGGAGGTAACGGGGTACTCACATGAAAAGGGAGTGTCACATGTTGAGTTGCATCCCAATATTGGTAAAATTATTGGCGACATTTTTTTAAACAACTTCATCAGAATGAAGAATGTAGACTTTAGTAGATCATTGGTATTGGCGTGTATTTTCTGCTTTTCTATAAAGTAAGATATCTTAGATTTTGGATTTCAAAAGGAACATAAAACTTGAAAGACTTTTTGATGCTATTATTGTTGGTATCATTTTCCTTGGTTAAATTGTATTTTGAATCATTTTTAATATCTCTAATCATGCTTCCTATTTGGGTTTTTAATTACATATGTTTATTTTAGGAAATTTAGAAGATACAGAGAGGTGAACAAAATAAAATTAATCAACTATAACATTTTAATTTATAACCTTTCTATAATTAGATATATTAATACGTTTTTAAACAAACTTGGAATAATACATGTGTTCTGAAGTCTTTCTTCTTTCACTAAATAGTAAATATCCATGTCTTTAAATATCCTTCTACCATAAATTTTTTAATGTCTGACTATTCAATCATTGATTTAAATAATTCTCTATTATTAGACATTGCAGTTGTTACAAATGGTTTTAATCTAACGAGCAACACTGTAATGAACAGAGATGTACACAAATCTCTTATCCTTTCCTTAAGATGAATTCCTGTAGATGATGCTAAGTCTAAATATAGTCTTTTGTAATTTAAATTTATTCTTGAGAATCCTATTAGTTTCATCTCAGGAGCATATTACTATTTAGGGAGTTGGGAGAAATGGATAGAAAATAGAACATGACTTATTTGAATTCCTGTTACAAGTTTACATAATTGCTATTTGTTTAATGCCACTATGTACCCAACACAGTGTTTGGACTTCAGATAATATCATGTGACTTTACAACAACTCTGAGGAAAATATTTTGCTGCAGCATTTTCATAGCTGAGAAGTACTGAAGGTTACAGAGGTTAATGAACTTGTACAAGGCTGCACAGGTAATGAATGACTTAGCAGGGATTCAAATCCTGGTCCCAAAGCCCAAGCTTCATTCACAGGAGTAAGTAGCCTAATGATTGTAAATGATCTCAGGAGATAAAAAAAAAAATCCTTGCCTAAGTGAGTTTACAGCCTTGCTACAGAGACAGAACTAATATACCTTTAATGAGGAAAACTTAAAGTTGTGAGTGGAATTAAGTGACAAAAAGAAGGACGCAGGTGTGCAGTTTATAGCATGGAGGAGGTCATGAGTTCATCCTCGCCCATCTTTTTGATCTTTGTGTGAATGCAGCTTCATAGTCTGCCACAACCCCATTCTTCCCAAAACAACCAACCAAACAAAATAAACAGGAATTGAGGTGTACCGATATTGTGTAGAGTGTTCAATGGCAAGAACTATGAAGGGCCTGAGATTTTATCCTACTTGCAAGCTACCAAGTTGGCCTGCCACCGTTTCATGAATACTGGCAGAAGACAGAAGACTCGTGGATCAGAGACAAAAGACTTTATTGCTCACAGCTGAGCTGGCAGCATGAGTTGTATGTTCCCAATGGCTATCTTTGCCTGGAGCCCTACGGGAGATGTGACTTGGCCTACGTGGATACTGTATGCACAGTGTGCTTGCTCATAGCTGGGAACCCTGATCTTGGGAAACTCCAATCTTTCAAAAAGGCTGCTAGCATACGTGCTTAAATTTTGCCTTGGACGAGAAATTATCTTCACCATCCTGGACACCAAATAAAACTTCCGTCTATCCTGGAGGGAGACAATATTTTTAACTTACAAGGCTATTTGCTATACAAGCATCATTAAAAATACAGTCTGGAACAAAAGCTAATACAAGACATGCAGAAATGTGAGAGACCCATGGAGAATTGTCTCCCAACATTCAAACATCATAAGAATGATGGAATGACACACTATTTAGATTCTAACCTGGTACTCTTTAAGTTTCAGTTTTAAAAATAATTGTTGAAAACCACTATATATTAGACACCATGTTAGTCTCAATACTTCTGATGCCGGGTCACAATCTATATTCTTGTTTATTCTGTTAAGAATTCAGAATATGCTTTCTGTCTAGGAACTCAGACTTTACTCAATTATGGAAATTTTTCAGTTATAATTCTTTTGGGGTTTTTTTGGTTTTTTTTGAGACAGAGTCTTGCTTTGTTGCCCAGGCTAGAATGAGCGCCGTAGCGTCAGCCTAGCTCACAGCAACCTCAAACTCCTGGGCTCAAGCAATCCTACTGCCTCAGCTTCCCCAGTAGCTGGGACTACAGGCATGCACCACCATGCCCGGCTATAGAAACTCAGGCCTTACTCAATTATGAAAATTTTTCAGTTATAATTCTTTTAAACATTCATTCTTTTTATTTTTTATTTCTGAGAGATAAATGTTGGAACTTCCGAATTTACCTTACATGTCTTATAATTTCTCTTTCACATTTGTTGCACATTTATCAATCCCTGCTACATTCCAAATTAAATTTTCAGAATTGTTTTCCAATTCACTAATTCTCTCTTAGAACTGGGTCTAATCTAGAAGTTATCCTATATATTGACTTTTTTATGCTGATGTCCATGTCAACATCTATATTTCTAAAATTTCTCATTGTTTTTTCAACCATTTTATTGCTTATTCATATCTGACCTTTTATATCTGACTAGTTGTATCTGGCTATTCATATCTGGCTAATTTCTTTTTTCTTTGACCTTAAACATACTTTTAAACCGTCACTCTCAGTTTTGCATTTCAACATGGGTGAATTGTCCTGATTATTGAATTTATTTGATTAATATATGGTTTCTGTCTATGGGTTTAGAATTTTAGTTTGCTCTTCCATCGTGAGTGGGAAGTCTTTTGTTTTGCCTTTCCTTTCTTTCTGCGTTCTCTTGTATGTTGGAGGCTTTGCCTCTGCTGTAATCTGGCTTCCAGATTCCCTAGTCCAAAGCCTTTTTGCCTATCATGATTTAAAGGATATTGCGGATCTAGTCACCCAGCCAGTGGGAAGTAGACCTCCGGGCCCCGGTCCGGCCCGCAAACCTGAACAAACGGCCCCAAAAAAAAAAAAAAAGGTCAAAATTTTTTTCAAACCTCCTCTCCAAAAAAAGGAACCCCCCACACACATTCCTTTCTTTCTACCAAGCCCAGGGCAGGGCCTTCATTATGAGTTGGGTATTTTGTTCCTTTACCCTCCAGGACTCTTCTGCCTATTTCTGGTGCTGGGCTTTGAGTTAGCCTGTAGTTTCTGCCCTCTCACCCGAAGTTTATCTAATATGTCTTGATTTAGAGAATGTATTTGTCTTTTAAATTTTTTTAAACACTTTTTAAAAATATTTTATTTTTTACAGTGTATATTTGGAGGGTGTGGGAGTGGAATGTGAATCATTACGCTATTACACTCCATACCATTTGACCACAGATCTTAGTTCATAGTCAAAGGAGAATGAAAGATTTTCCTGTTTTTGACATTCATATACTAGTTCCAAAGTGTGAGATGTATTTAGACAAAAGAAAAGAGGCTTACGTATGCCACTGGCAACACACTGAGCAAAAGTAGTCTTCTTGAAGATCATGAAAAATGGTTTGATTTGTCACAGTTCCTGAGATTGGTAAAATTGATCCAAAAAATCAGCATAGCTGACTCAAAGCTGTCATTTTTTGTGTGTATATGATGTTATCCTTTGGAATTGTATTGAGGTATGTTCTTGGCAGGATAATTTTTAAAAAATTAAATATTCAGCTTTAAAGAAAACTATCCTAATATAAATTGAATGCAAACTGAGTACTTTGAAATTCCTTATTTGGGGGTTGTGAGGGAAGGATGTCTCTGGGAGATATTGCAGAATGGATACAAGAACTTTGTATTAGAAATCAAGGCCTGAATATAACCCATTGCTCTTATAACTTATTCACCTATTCTGAGGAATGAAGACTTATGTGTATATAACCACTGCTTCTGCTAACTTAAGAAAATGACGAGCTTCATAAATTTGGAAAGCAGAGCTCTAGTTCTCATAAAGGGTGGCAGCCTGTAGTGGGTGGCCATCCCAACAGGCAGGGAAGCAGCGCCTCTGGCCAGAAGCCAGAAACACATGCTTCAAGGGAGGGAGGATGGGAACAGGAATTTATGCCGAGTGGAGTGGCCAAATATACACATTTAGCAAGCTATTAGAGGAGTCATGAATATTTATGAAAGGAGAAACGTGCACATGTGCAATCAAGCTTTATGCCCCTTTATGGGGTCCATGTTTAGAAAATAGCAGCCTTCTAATGTCAAAGGTGAGGCAGAGCACAGGAAAAACTCCTTCTGTGTGTACTATGCAGACTGGTTACAACAACTCAGCGGTTGGTGGTCTCTTATCAGGAAAGAATGCTAGTCACTTGCAGGGCTGAAATCCCTGAGAGGGAGGAGTGGATCAGGAGTTTGGTTTCTGTTTAGCCCTTAGGGAATAATGCCTGACAGTGTTAGCAAGGGAGGGGTATAACAAGGTGTGTCTGACCTCCCATCCTATAATGGCCAGGAGCTCAGTTTTAAGGTTTCTCTGGGGTCTCCTTGGCCAAGAGGAGTTCATTCCATTCAGTTACACTCCTTAAAAAATGGGAAGGCATTTTTCACAGGAGTTAAAATTGACAATGTTAGAGTACAGACTGGACCAGGAGAAACTTGAATCATAAAATATTTTAAAGGAAAATTTTACTGTCAAATTCAGTATTTTAAAATATCCAATTATCTGATTTAATGGGAATAGATAAAAGTCATTTGTTATTGAAATGTACTGTTCAGCATTCTTGAAGAAAAACAATACAAGCCAACTTAAAAAGAAAAGCAACTTAGTGAGCAATACTGGCTGGAGAACACCAGGGGAAGGT